GTCGGGTTATACCTGCTGAGCGCTCTGGTTGACCTATCACAGGTCAGTAGATATGACTGGGGTGGCGCCGGCCTGGCTACCCTTTACTGTTATATGAGCGCCACCTCCCGCGGGCGGGGAGACTTACTTGGCGGTTATTGGCGAGCCTGGGAGGTACTTTTCTGTCCCCTTGATTTACATTTCTGCTCTTCATTACTCGTACATTGCACACACAGCGCACTTTACAGTCTGTATTTTGCTCTCAGCACTTTGTACTTTACATTCTGTACTGCTTTTCTCAGCTATGGGTCTACGTATACTTCCCAGCCTTAGCCCCAAAGTTGGAGGTGGCAGGGCCTCCCATGACCCCATATTCCCTGGTGTTTGAGGGCCCGCACCGACCGAGACCCCGAGAGACTCTCATTTACCTGCGACAGTACTTTGACACTGTGCGACATTCGGAGGTACTTCAGAACTTTTAGTTCCTTTCACTTTCATCTTTGATTTGCTCTGTATATTCCCGATTTCTGATTGGTTTATGCATTTATCATCCGCAGATCACATGGCAGCCCTGGGCGCCCCTGGGTGATGGTCTCCGACTTCAGTATACCGGAGGGTCGGACACCTCCCAGTATAGGGTCCTGCTCGAAGGGCCGGTTGGCAGGGCGTGGTTTCTGGGGGAACGCTTTCTGCGTCAGGTATGGGGGTATCTTTCTCTGGATCCTCCCGCAGTACCCCCAGTCAGTATGCAGACTACTGACAGGCTCTCTTTCTCGGAGGTAGTCGGCGCCATGCTGGGTAGTGATGCTTTACTATATCTTGAGGAGGGGGACTACGCCACTTACCGTCATATATATTTGATGCCTCCATTGACGGGAGCTCGCACCCCAATGACGAGGCCTGCTGGTATGTCATCCTCGGGCCAGGCTCGGGCTCGGGCTGCAGACGCCCCTTCTGCCAGCGGGGCTGGTGCATCTAGAGTAGGGCTGGTACATCTAGAGGTAGGGGTAGATCGGTTCCTCCGACTCCTCCGACTTATCCTCATCCTGGATGGCCAGATATGCCAACTGAGTTGATGGCGTGGCAGTATGGGGCTATCTCTCCGACTCCGATCCCGCTAGAGCCTCCGATGCCCAGTGATCGATACGCCATTGATCCTGACTCACCGCTGGTATGCTCCACTGTTTTTCATTCATCATTCAGACGTTTAGACATTCTTTTATTCATTGATGATTATGAGCTCATATTTGCAGCCACCGCGAGGGTACATGGAGGAGGTGGTTAGACTGGTGGCCACACTCAAGGGCATGGTCCTGCGGAGGGAGGCACAGTTGTCTATCGCGGGCATTCAGGTACCCTTCAGTTTTCTGGCATTTATCATACTTCTGATGACACGCTGATTTCAACTGCATCGATAGACTACTTGTGTAGAGCACATCTGACACACACCCCACTTGGACACTGTATTTACATACACCTACTTCACGTAGCTTTTGCTTGTATCTGCATCTGATGTATATATTTGGACTGATGTATTTGAATTGAACTCTTTGTTTTCAGATGCCTTCATGGTCCGGTCAGCCGCAGTCAGCCGCAAGCCAGGCCACC